CACACACTCACACACACACACACACACACACACACGGACACACACACAGACACACACCATACACGCACACACACACAATCACACACACACACGGACACACACACACGGACACACACACTCACACACACACACACACACACAAACACAAATACACACACACACACACGACGTGGCATATGTCCTGGTTCAGCAAACTCTCTCACACACCCAACTTGTTTTTATGTCGTCGCAGTCAAGTGCATAGTTTTCAACTACGGTTAAGGACGGCTTTCCTCAAGGATACAGCCCAGCTAGGTGTCGCTCATCCAATAGCAGCTATTATCATTTGACACTGCTTGACATTTTTGCTGTTTCTATAATTATTGGGTTGGTTTTTCCCCATAAAACCGGCCTTCACGTCAGGCGTTGGAGGTCGCCTATTGCGGGTTTGACATTTTGTCTTTCCCTCGAAATTTCTGATTCTTGGTTTCTTACTCCAATAAACCCAAACTGGTCGTTTTGTCAAGTGGATTTTATTTCTTAGGGATTTTTTTTCATTGCATTAGGACAATGAGATATTATTTTGTTGCAATTAATACTGCTCTGTTATAGCTAAACTGTAGTAGCGTCGAAACACTCTAGTTCTTGCAAATATAATTTAGTTAGCAATATTCAATAGTTTATTCCCGCTGTGAATTGGTTTCCCTTGTTCTGTTAAAGCGCTTATTTAGGCAACTTGCTTTGGCGTCAAATCTGATTTCTCTCATTAATGACAAAAAAGTAATAATTCACTAATCTCCCGTCACACCTGAGGCTGATCGAATTACGACGCCGGTGGGCCCTAAGAGATGCAACATGTGCAGAGCCGGCCTGGGAGACCCCGAGCACGAGCACAATACGAACCTCAGATCTATACAGCCGTACAATACTATATATATATAATATATATTATGTTCCTGTGTGGGAGAGGGGAAGTCAAACTGACGCCAGTTGGCAGACGGTGACTGGTGCAGCTGTCCACTCAAGCCTCTCTCTGTTGTCGATGTATGTGTGTGTGAGCGTCTTTGCCCAGCTTGCCTCATTCGGATATTGTTGTATTTGTCAGCTCTTTTGGTAACTATTTTTAACCCTTCTCCTGTGTGAGTCGTTAACCCGTCATCTGAAGTGCTGCCCTCCTCCCAACTTTCGGAAGCGTTGAGATTAAAACGAGCGTTACTGGAGTGCGCTGTAGCTGAAAACGTTTTTCAAACAGAAGTGTCACTTACCTCTCGAGGATATTGACTTCAGTCCATCTGTGTTACGGCGAAATCTGTGTGTACTTTCTGCGCTCACTCAGACACAACGAGTCATTTCCGCATGTGATTCGTCGCGCTTTTGTTAGTGTTCATGCGCGAGATCAGATTGAGGCCGGGAAAAGCTCATCTGGGTTTGTTCCTCATGTGGATACAGGCTTCTGTGAACATTAATTGTGCTTACTGTAAGTGGACCGTGCGTATCGCTTGTCAACTTTGGGCACACTGAGGCTCTCGAAAGAAGCAACCCTTGGTCACGAGCCATGTACCTACAGATGTTGTTTTGGAGAATAGACATAATAACAAACATGGCCCTGGAATGATATGGACGACATGTGCGATAGTGCTGTTTCTGAACTTTTGTGCTCTCACGGTTAGCGTGGGAAATTTTGACATTTTGTTTTTGCCATCAAGTTTTGTTGTGTGTATTCGTGTTTCTCTCTGCTTTTAAGTTTGTACGAGGTAAAGAAACTGGGATATAGCTCTGGGCTCCTAACGGTTAGAGAACATCCGTTACGGATATTGATTACATGTGTCATTTAATTATCACATTCGATAAGACAGATTACATAAGTTTGAAAAAACAAAATCAACGTAGTGCGGTAAGCTGAACACGCTTTTCGGGGTACATTTCCACCTGAGGCATTTGCATATATCATCCTAGATACCCCTAGTGTGTGTGTGTGAATGCGACACCTATAATATCACCTTCACGTGGACCCAAATAGAGGCGCGTCTTTTTATATGGTTGCGCATTTGAGCCAGGGAACACTCCATAATAAGAAGTGTTTAGGTTATAAGTGCTGCTATTTTTGTTATCATATCTCAGCCGTAGTTTTACAGTGGGTCAACAGGTTAACAGCTACATTTCCCTCAGAGTCGCGGACACTTTTTGGAGATAAAAGTTTTTCTCTCGCCTCGGTTGTTGTGTGTTTTTTCCTCGTGTTTGCGCTTTAAAAGTGCAGATCAGATATACTGTTGGCTATCTGAAGACGAGTTCGGAAAAAGATTCCAGTGGTGCATACCAAGTATCTTCATCGTATGCACTCGGACACCTTCGAAACACACTAGTTTTCTCCTGTGCTTTTCGTGGGCTTTTACAAAGACAGAACTGTGGATTAGCGATACTGTATGGATATCTGAATGGATCTCTGAAGAGACACTGCGCACATTTGCATTGAAGCTTTTAATGCCCAGTTTCAGTGATTTACGCAAGTCCTTCAACCTGTTGTAGCGTCAATAGTTTATTGTGTGGATGAGGTAAGGGTAGCTGTCCAGCCCGGCGTTTTCATCATGCCGAGACGGAGTGCCACCAGCAAAAGCTGGCCGGATGTGGCCACACTGGGCAGTGATGTGGAGCAGGAGGCAGGGGACATCACTGGTGGTCGGGGGGAGCATCGTAAGGACAATAGGGCTCGCCTGTAGACACTCATCTCAATTACATTGTTTTTGTTGTTAACTTTTTTTTCTTTGGCGTTTGCAAGTGGTAGGAGGGATACATTGGAAGGTTCTACGTCTTTTCTTCCTCTCTTGTTGTTTCTGTCTGCCTTCTGCCTGTCTCACTTTTTTTCCGGGCTCAAAATGTCAGTTATTTATTTTGTCGATCTATTTACTCATACAGACAAATCTTTGGGGTTCGTCGAAACCGCTTGATATTTTACAGTGGGGATTTTTTTCGGGGGGGGGGGGGACTTCTTATGGTTTGTTCTTAGAGTTTGAATATTTCTTTTTGGTTTTAGAAATCGTCTTTTTTCACAGAGTTAAGGACACAATGAAAGGAAACAACTAAAACACGGAATACACGAAAACAAAAGACAACAATAGTACGAAAATCAACAATACGATCAATAACATTAATATCGAAATGCTCATAAGGGCCGTTGTGTCTCGTGTTACTGACGCCCCATGAGATATCCTCTTGCTTGTTCCAATAACGGCTGAGTTTTTTATTGGATCTGCTGCTTTGTTGTTATTGGTAGCCTTTAATTTGTTATTGGGCCCTGGCTTTTGCTGCTGTTAATGGAACTTACACCTTCTGGATAGGTTTGTTTGTGTGTGTGTGTGTCTGTCTGTCTGTCTGTCTGTCTGTCTGTCTGTA